TATAAGTTTCATCAGCTGTTTTTTAATCTTCGGATAAAATAGCAAAGGCGCGGCGCTCGGGGGGGGGGGGGGGGGGGGGGGAGCAAGGGGGCAAAGTGCCCCCATTTTTTAAAAGTTTCCCCCAAATGCCCCCTTTTAAGTGGGAAAAGACAATATATTTTTGTCACACCCCCACCCCGACCCGTCTCCCCTGAAACAACAGAATTCGCATAGCCTTCCTAATATTATGTGCTCCGTAATCTAAAGCGAATGAGGGCATTTTCCCCTCCAATTTCTCAAACAGCTCGCCCGCTACGCTCATTTGCATTTTAGTTTATATAATAATGTAATTTTATAAGGGTCTTATTCATTCTTTCGTTAAGAGATTATACGTATTAAAAACGAGAGCATGACGGTTTTTTTTTCTATCAATAATAACTAATCTGTCGCAATGCGACCTCATACATCTATACATCATACATTTATCATACATGTATCTTCAGACCATCACACACACAACTGCAAAATATGATGCTCACTCAGTATCTTGTCCACGTAAAGAGAAACTATATCAATAGCATAATTGTATTTCCTTTAATTTAAGGTAAACTTCGTAGGTGCCCCTCCCCCCCCCCAGAAAGTGCCCTTTTTTGTTGGTGCCCCGGCCCACTTTGAAAGACGTTCCGCCTCCCCGATTAACTATGTGCATTTACAAAGGTTCAACATTTGAAAGAAATCTTAACTGTCGGTGGCTTACTATACAAGATATCCCCCGAGTTTTCGTTCCTTTGCGCTCCATTCGGGAAAAATGAAAAGCGGAAGGCCCAAATCGCTTATAAGCCATATATGGTTCAAAATTTAACAAAAACATACACTTCGATTTCAGTATTCCCTTTTAGATTCGTGCCTTAGGTAGAATGCATTTGTTTTAAAGGCGTAATCCTACTGTCAGTCCGCTTTGCTCTCTCGCTTGTAAATTACGTAGATAACTTTTGGAAGGGGAAGGGGGGTAATTTCATTGTTTGACCCGGGCACCATAATCCCTAGATCAGTAGATGGCCCTCGGTCTCGCGAAGCCTCTAATAACTTCCAAGAACCCGTGAGACCGACATTATCTGTCTCGTGGACTGTAATCATTCACTTTAACCAGGAAGCCACAACCATGAAAACTCCCTGCTTAAACAAAACCAACATCTTAAATTAAAATTCTACGTAATCTTAAAACTTTCATTTTTCTTTCTTTGAACTTTCAAGGCTATTTTCGTAAACATCTATTTCAACATGTTGTACATCAATCAACCTTTCTGAGAAAAAAACACTTTCTATTGTGTTTTATGTTTTAAAGATATTTATTTATAAACACTAATTGTTTGTTGTACAATTGTGTTAACAGTTTTTACATATTCACGATGAAGTAATACAATAATCTGACTTGGGTTCTATTTCTCTAGTTAAAAATGTTTTGTATATTTTATCTCTGTTCTCTAGTAACATGACTAAATAGCAATTGTTATCTGTGTATTCAAATATGTTTTGATGATGTTTTGAGAGAGTCCAAACATAGCCCTGAACTATAAGTATCAAAGTGTTGTGTGAAAGTCCAAATAACTCGACGGTACGAACAGGGCGAAATAAAACGAGCTTCATTTATCGAAAGGCTGTTGAAAGGTTCATAAACTCAATACACGATCAATAAGAAACGACGGTTCTATTGTTGAAAAGAGGTAATTCAAATACAAAAGAAACTAGACCTATACAAAGTTAGTACCTTTTATACACATAGACTGCAATACGCTTCCCCGTGTTGCCATGCGAGGATCACAGTATGGGTAAATACACGTTCCTTTATTTAGTTGATCGACCAATAGATATTGATCCAACCTACAATGGCGTTGTAAACGTTCCTTAGAAAGTAAAACACAAATTATACCGGTAGAAAGAAAGTCAAAAAGTCAAAATTACATAGACACTCGTGTTAAAAGTCAGTTCCACAAATAAAATACCTATCCACTATTCAAAACGTCAATAATTCCTAAAGATCTTTAAGTAAAATTCAAAATGTCAAAATTCACATAGAAACACGTGTTGTAATTCACTTTTTGCTTGAAAAAAAAACTAAGTCCAACAGAGAAAATCACTAAGTAAAATTCATAAAGTCACAATCCCATTGACACGCGTGTTATAAGTCCGTTTTTTCTCGAAAATAGACTATGTCAAAGTTAATGTACACGAGTCAATTAGAAATAGTATAAGTACGAAAAAATTCGTGTACAAAACCTATGGCCGTCCCGGTACTCACTGCTATAACTACTCTCGTCTGTCTGTCATTTGATATATTGGTGTAGAATATCAAATTGGAGAAACATTAATTAATAGCTTGTTCGTTCATCGCTTTTTATTAGGTTTCAATGAGTTAAAATTATAATGTGAATTTCCGCCGTTAATTGTACGAGACGACAGTTTCATTGATTGAAACAGTAACACATTATAATGTACCAGGAAAGCACAGGCCTGGCCGGGCACAAGGGAGCCATGCCCTCTACATCCGTTTAAAAAAGTGAAGAAGGACATAAAAGAAGAAGAAGAAGCAGAGGAAGCAGAAGATGAAAATGAAGAATTAGAAGAAGAGGAAGAAGAAGAAGTAGTAGAATAATAATACTTTTATATAAGATGAAGTATAATAATAAGAAGAACTTGAGAAGAAGTAGAAGAAGTAGAAGAAGTAGAAGGAGAAGAAGAAGAAGAAGAAGAAGAAGAAGAAGAAGAAGAAGTAGCATAATATTAGTTATAAGAAGGAGTATAATAATAAGAAGAACTTGAGAAGAAGTAGAAGAATAATAAGAAGAAGAAGAACAAGAAGGAGAAGAAGAGGAAGACGAAGGAGAAGAAAAAGAAGAAGAACAAGATGAAGCAGAAGAAGAAGAAGAAGAAGAAGAAGAAGAAGAAGAAGAAGCAGCAGAATAATAATAATAATAAGAAGAATAAGTAGAATAAAAGAAGAAGAAGAAGAAAAAGAAGAAGGATTTTACATAAAACGGATCGAAGGGAAAAATCAAATCGAATTAAATCTAATCAAATGAAATTAAGCCCAGATAACTTGTCGCTGGAGAAGTGCCTCTTTGAGAATAAAACTCCATTTTAGGCAAATATATGGTGCCCATCAAGCACCGTCAAAATTGTATGCATATTAATATGTCGTCACATCAAAGCTTCTAAAAAATGTACGTGTATTATTAGTTCCAGTACTTTCGACATCACCCTGACCATTTAAATCAAGTTTAACACACTCAAACACTTTAGTTGTTTTTCTGTTTTTCCTGTTTTTGATTAATGCCGGCGAAATGATTCACGGTCGTTGCCGTCAGAAGTCAGTTGGCTAGAATTTACGGTGAAAGTTATTTATGCATGTCAGAAATGTTTCCTTGTTAGACATTTCCTCGATTTATTGGTCATAGTTTAAAGCAGCTTGTAGGTGCTCATCGTAACGATGATACATTTATGATAATTCATCTTGACATGTAAAGATCAGGAGTTTGTAAAGTTGTACACCATTGCTTTGGTGGCTTTTGAAATTGATATGTCGCTAACATGTATGATCCTCGTAAAATATTCATATCAAACATAATCGCTCCACGAAAAGAATGTAAAAAAACCCCTTGACATCGCTTATTCTTTAAACTGTTGGTTCAAGTGTATTTAATTTACAATGTAAGTGGACTGCGCAGTGTTGGTAAACGCCAATTATTCATGGTATATCGAGAAAAAGGTCCTTTTTGGTACATCTTAAGTCAGGTCGCCTGATATCAGATTAATATCTTGTTTTATTTAAAGTGAAAATTTCTTTTCCCAATTTCCTCTATAATTTATTCTTTCTTCCTTTTCCCTTCTCCTTCTTCTTCTTCTCCCTCTTCTTCTCATCCTGCTGATTTTGTTTTCCTTCTCCCCCTTTTTTTTCCTTCTTCTTCTCTTCTTAATATGGTAACATGAAATCCTAATTAGACAAAGCAAATTAAAAAAAAAAAAAAATCTTTAGAGTAATGCTCCCAATACTATTTTATTTAAGTGTCGAAAGTGGAAGTAATTGAAACCTATCTTTATCTGTTTTAATATCTTCGGATAAAATATTGCTTTGTCAGCGGAAGTTAGCCGGATGCTGCAGTGCATTTCCTGTTTTAAACAGTTGCTTTAAAAAAAAAAGTATCGGGAAATTGGTTCGATCACAATGTTAAAGGGATATTCACCAAAAATTTAAATGAATATAATGTCATAGCATGACAACAATATCGTATTTTCAGAAGCCTTGAATTCATCTTGAATTCGAAGGTACCCACATATATTTCTAACAGATATTCTTAATTCAATTTTTGTAAAATCCCTTGTGTGTGTGTGTGTGTGTGTGCGCGCGCGCGTGCGTGTGCGTATGTGCGCTTGTTTGTGTGTGATCCTTTGTGCGTGGATCTTGTTTGTTTCTGCGGCCATTTGGCCCTTCATTTAATAAAGTACTAAATGTTCATTCTTGTTTATATTGATCAAAGTTCTCTGCATTGTACGGAAGCTTCAACGTGCAGAGAGAAGGCGAGCTGTTTAACTTGCCAATGCGCCTTGCAAGGGCCCAGAAGGCAAAAAATCGAGTTGTTAAGGTCGCCAAGGCCTCATGCTTAAAGTGAGAATGCTAAAAGGCCCGTACTAGATAAAATTCATGAGAGCGCTTTCAGGCCGAGAAGACAAGAATGCGAGTTGCTAAAAGTAGCCAAGGCAAGGAGACGTCTCTCTGCTAAAGGCGCCTTGGCGATTTGTTCATACACGTATCTCGCTTTCTCTACTTAAATTATGGCGCCTTGGATAGTTAAACAAGTCGCCATCTCGCTGCACATTTAACTATCCCTAGCATTTGGCACATCTTTGAAAAAAACAATACCTGCACCATGTGCAGCAATTCACTTTAAAAGTAGATACACAAAGTAACATGGAATTATCATTTGTTAAGGAGATTTTATTTTCAATACTTTTTATTCAAGCTATTTGCCAGAATATCTCATGGATATCTCCTCGGTTTGAAAAAGTCGAATTTCCGGTGGGTGAGAACGGAACATGGGCAAATTCAACAGGAATGTGTCCATTCAACACTACTCAAGGTTGGTTTTGATGGTTTTTCATTCATTTTTAATTTGAGAATGTAGACGGGGGATTAGGTAGGATAGCACGATCAATAATCCGCCGCCAAATAAAAAAAACAGCCGCGTTTTCTTTTCTGTAACGTGTTAATGAATGGCAACTGCGCGATCGAGAACGGCTCATTTACTCGCAATATCATTTCCAAAATAGCCTTGATATCATGATGTTCAACAGATGTAGTGTGTTTTCACTTCATTATTGAACACTAGCGGATCTAGATAGGAGCTTGGAGTCTAAAAGCACCTCCCTATAGATATCCGAGCCCCCAAACTGTTTTCATGAATAAAAATGAATTTAAGCGAGGGACACGTAGAAAATAAATGCAGGAACCCCAAGCTCCCAGCCCTCGGACCTAAGTTGATATTCTAGATCTGCGCGTGTTGTTGAACGTATTGAATAGTTCTACAGTGCGTCCCCAACAAACTATACACTTTTGAAATGGCTGCCGAATAAAAAAATATATGATTCTGGGGGAAAAGTTTTATATGTATGGAAAGCTCATAAACTCAACTTTCATATGACACCAAAAAGTCTGAAAATAATTCATGCTTGGGTGAGCATTGCTCACTTTTGTACAGGGTATGAAAATTAGGTTGCGCAGGAATTAGCCTTCCAATTTGTGGAGGTAAATCCTTTGGTGCTTACAAAATCGAGGGTGATATGATACACTCATGATTTGCTGAGTGAATTACATGGTTTATAAAACCAAACTTTTATGCATGAATGAACAGGAATTTCATTTTTTATTGTAGCATTGTAACTTTCCCTGGTAGACTCGGTGGTGTGTTCATGGGAATCAGGATGGGGTGATGGTACATGTTGTAATTTCCATCATACAAACTGTTATTTTTTTACATCTGTGACTTTGAATAAAAACCTTCACCCCGCATTTCAATTATTGTAAGATTAGTTGAACATCCTCATTGATTTACTTAATAACCAGATGGGGATTATGTAAATTGATTATTCAAATATGGTTTGTTGAAAAGAGGAATATCAAAGATGTTGGCTACTTATTCTTCCGGTTACCCATTTACCATTTACAGAAACTCAAGTGCTAAAATGACTGGTTGGTTGGTTGATAGATTGAGTGATTGACTGAGTTATTGATTAATTATGATTGAATGATTAAATTGATTGAAATACTGAATGGTGATTGAATGCTTGATTGATTAATTGATTGACTGATTGGCTGATACAGCACATTTTCGATTAAGTGATTGATAGCTGAATGTAATGGATTGTCCAGATATGCACAAGCACACCCAGGCAGAGAGAGAGAGAGAGAGAGAGCGAGAAAGAGAGAGAGAGAAAGAGAGGGGGAGGGGCATACATGTCCTCTTGACCCTTATCCCATCTACCAAACAAAGTCCTACCCTACATTTCACCTCCCCCTGCACCATGTACCATCACCCCGTCCTGACTCCCATGAACACTCCACTGAGTCTACCATGGAAAGTTACATTGCTATACGGTAATAACAAATGTAATTCCTGTTCACTCATGCATAAAATGTTAATCCCATAAACCACAAATTTCACCCAGCAAACCCAAACTCATCACAATTGATCATAAATTGGTCATATCATCCTCAATTCCGTAAGCTCCAAAGGATTTACCTCTCACAATTTGGAAGGCTAATTCCTGCGCAACCTAATATTCATACCCTTTACAAAAGTGAGCAGTGCTCACCCAAGCATGATTTATTTTCGGACTTTTTGGTGTCATACGAAAGCTGAGCTTATGAGCTTTCCACACATATAAAGCTTTTCCCCTATAATCATATATTTTTCTATTCGGCAGCCGTTTCAAAAGTGTATAGTTTTTTTCGGGACGCACTGTAGAGTCATGAATAGCTTGAGAAAATTTCAATCATATACGATACATTTTTACTTTATTTACGTCTCCTCCTTTCTTCGTATGTGGTAATAATTGTTTGCCAGTGTTCTGTTGATATAATATAAACATGTATGTTTCTTTTTTTTAAAATACCGAACAGCCAATGAACCTATTGGACGGGCTCTGTGTATCGGCGATGGTATTACCAAGAGCCAGTGGCAGCCAATGGATAATTGCGGACCATTTAGAAATGTCACAGACATTCTCACCGAAATTGCACAGGTTTTTGAAATTTTCTTTTCAAATTTCGATCATTGAAAAGAGGCTTATTAATAACTTTCATATGTATTAAATGCAATTGTGTTTAGTATATTGTAGATACCACTGATCATTACAACCTGAAAAAAAGTTTGATATTTTTTTTAAAAAGAAGATAAGAATAAAATGATCTATCATTCAGTAGATTTCAACCAGTTTAGTACATTATTTTGCCAACTTTTGTGTAAAATTTTACACAAAAAATGTACAAGTTCCTTACTTACAAAACTTCTTATTTTAAATGTATCGTTACTTAACATTTAAACATATAAAATCATGCGTAACAGGTAATGATTAGCCCATGGTCGATCAATTCTACTGATTGTTTAAATGTCATTCCATTCACAAATGCATTGGACGATTTTGAGTTGTGAAATGACATATTATGGGACACATTTCTTTTAGTTCTTATAATGAAGATGGTACAGTATATGGAAACAGGAACCTACTTATGTGTCATAGCAATATTGTAAGGAAGTCATGTTCCCTTTTTTATGCTACCTTAATTATAGAGGGAAAGTCGTATCACTCAACGTTTACATGCTGTAATGATATTTCCCCTCAAATTTTAGGTAGTCGTAGGTGAAAAAAACGCAGGTAAAGTGAGCAAGCAAGTATCATCTGTCACTTCCAACATCGAAGGTATCACATCAAATGACATCAAGCTTGTGGCAGAGATAACATCTAACATTGTGCAGCAAAATCTGACTAGTGAAGAGGTATTCTGCACGATACCAGAACAATCCTATTGAACATAAAGTTGCGATAGGAAGAATTTTTATGTCCCGATAATTATGTTTTGGGGGAAAAAATGAAGTCTTCCCTCCGATACATGTATGAAATTGTAATAGATGTGAATGAGGTAAATCCCATAACCGGTTTCAACAAACATTGGACACCTGAAACATAAACTAGTTGTGAATTAAGAAGTTACAAGAGCCTAACGTATCAGGTTTTTTTTTGGTGATTTTTTGGTATAATATTGTATTTGTTCCAATAGAGATTTAGGTCTGTCACTGTCCTTTCATATCTTGTTGACCTTAAAGCGGCTACTTCTTCCAGAAGTTGTGTAACAGCTTTAAAATAATAGCTGTGCTAAGGCTATCATGTTATTCAATACCCTATCGCCATTCAGTTTGATTTCCGAGATTTGGCAACTTTCCCCTATTATATTTTAAATCATCTTCTTTTGTGTTTGAATTGACAGGTAACAGAGTCTATAACGAGTATTGTGAGCAATATAGCTCAGGTACAAACGGAGGAACTTGAAACCGCAGAGGAAGAAGGTGGGGCAATAAGTAAATTTGTCCAGGCTTTTGAGGAACAAATCAATCGTGTTGAGGTTGCCGATGGCGGGTTGCTCAACATTCAGCAGCCAAGTGTAGCCGTAAAGGTGATTTTAGATTTATGTCATAGGCTATGAAAAAACAATTTGATTTCAACCAGTATACTAAAATAAAAAATTTCATGTTCAAGTTATATAATTGTTTGCATGGATATTCAAAATAACAGAACTAAAAAAAAAAACTGACACTGCCGTTCATCCATTGTGGTTTCAATCAATCTGGTGTGTCCAACAAGGCGCGACACTTCCACCATTTTTCTTTATAGTTTAAAAGAGATCGACCAAACAACATAATTATTTGTGCATTTATGTGTGCGGGATACATCACATTTTGAATTTGAGGAATGCCTTACTTAAACGTCTGTGCATGGTGCTAATTGCCTCATTTTCAATCCTCATCATGCTAATGATAGTAATGATAACAATGATGATGATGATGATAATGATAATAACAATAAGAATAATAACAAGATTGAAGTTCTAATTCACAAAACAGATTCAGAGTGTACTTGCTGATGATGTAATGAGCGGTCTCGTGCTTTCGCTAGCTGGATCCAGTCCTTCAGACCTGACCAAATCCAATATTACAATCAGTGTCCCGACCAAAGATGACCACGATAACGTCATTGATACCAGACCAGACATCATCGCTCTGGTCAACATTCCACCTTCAGTGTCATCCGTCGTTTCGTCCACGGCCCCATCCTCAGGATCGCCGTCGAATGGCAGTAGTGAATACGTCCGGATCAACTTCAATGTATTTTCAACTTCAGCCCTGTTCATTTCTAAGTCATTGCGCACAATCAGTGCAGATAATGAAGACTTCAATCGATCGGCTAACTCGCCCGTAATTTCTCTCAGTATTGGTCAAGGGAAAGTAGCAGCCCTGACAGAGTTCATCAATTTTACCTTCACTTCAATAATGGTAAAACCTTTAACAATAAAATGGCAGAATAATGGGTTTTCATATATTAAACGTATCTTTAATGCCTTTAGCAGTATTTATAGATGATTAAATTTGTAGACATAGACTACATAATTTGTATGTAGGTTAAAATTGAAACATCATGTGTATTTCAATCTATTTTTTTCCTTTTTGAATCCTGTGTTTGATTCCACTTATAAATGGGCTTCTTAACTAAACCAATCAAACTTATTATTCATTCTTCTTTCATGCTTTATTTAACAAATTTTATTATGGGTCCATGCATTTCTTGCTTTTTTTTGTTGTTCTTGTGTAGTCTGGATACGTGAATCCCATGTGTTCATTCTGGGATGAGGAGGAGGAAGATTGGTCCCAAGATGGGTGTGTTCTTGTTTCTGGTATCACATCATCTGATGAGCGCCATGAGGAGAGCGTGCGCTGTTCGTGTGATCATCTTACCAGCTTTGCTGTTATAATGGTCAGTGAAAAGCAATTAGGTATTATTATATTCATTATCACCGTTCAACTACTCCCCGGACAACTAAAACCCGACTATCTAAAACAAAATATTTAAAAAAGATTTTTGTTTTGAATTTTTTAAATTGAAATTTGGAAAATTTATTGTTTTTAAATGACAGATTTTATTAAAAAAAATAAAAATAAAAACATGTTATTGAACAAAGATTCGAAAACAAAATCAAAACAAATTTAAATCCCAAATAGTACTCCCAAATAGTACTTTTTCCGGGCAACCTTAAAATAGTTGAAATATTTCTGGTCATGTGACGAGGTCTCAACCAATCAAAAGCTAAAATTGTTTAATGGAGAATATAATATGGTCTATGTATAGACTTTATGAGAGCTCATGGGCAAATAATCAGTTTCATTTGTGCCTTCGAAGAAGTTTTAGTTTGGGCTAATGTTTTTCTTCATTTCACAGGATATCCATAGACAGGAGGATTCATTTATCAAGGCATACAACATCCTGACTTACATTGGATGCTGTATTTCTATCTTCAGTCTTCTTGTCACATTGGCAACTTACCTGTGGAACAAGTGAGCTCAATGGAAAAAACACTGATGTAATTGTTAATGTAATACAAAGAAGACATTTTATTTTTGATTTTGTTTGGTAACTTTTGAAAGAAGAATAGTCACATTAACTGTGAAAGAGATGCATTTATAGAATTTAGTAAATAATCATGTAAATGTAAATACCCTCCCCCTCTTTTGATAAAATTATTTCGTAATCAAATGATTTGTAAAGTACGTGTAAACCTGCAGCACACAACTTCTATCAACAATGTAAAGTTCATGATAAAAAGGGAAAAAGGAGGGGGAGGAGGAGGAGAGAAAGAAGAAGAAGAGAAACTGCCGGTATATTATTAGTCGCTTTGCGATGCATGGTGGTGTGACGAGGTTCATAGATAGGTTACAATATTAATTTGTTTATATCATATCGATATCATATATTGATATTCTATCAACTTCGTAGATCAAATCCTCTGCCTCATGGTGTTAAGTTTGCATAGAATAGGAAGCGTATTTATTTCGAACATTTTTCCTTACAAATATTTTTCATTTGACATCATCGTGAATAGTTGCACCCGGACTAGTTTTATTCAACACGCGTCACAATTCTTATTTTTTCCGCACTAATAGAAGAGATAAATAAATAAATTACAATCACGTAATTTCCTTCTTTTCTTTGTTGCTGCTGTTGTTTGACATTTATATTATTCTGTGTTGCTTATGAAGTGATGGCAAGCCTGTAAATGCATGGTAAACTTTAGCTTCGACGCTTTTGCTTTCCTAAACTCATTTCAATGTTACAATCTTGATAGGGATTTGGATTTGAGGACCAAACAGACTAGCCAGATCTTCATCTGTCTGTGCCTGACCTTGCTGTGTCTCTACACAACATTTGTCGTCATGATCTCTCTGGATTCTATCAGAGATTATCGTGAGGTCCGAGCTGGACCCTGTGGGTTACTGACGGCTCTAGTTCACTATTTCGTTTTGTCTTCCATTGCCTGGATGGGTGTGGAAGGGTTCAATACCTACCTCATGATTGTGAAGATCTTTAACACCTACATCCAGAATTTCATGATCAAGGCTTTCTTCGCTGCGTGGGGTAAGATATTTCTTTCCGTTCCAATAAATTATCAATAAGTTATTGCACCCCCTGGTCCCTAACAGGAAAAAAATCCTCTGCACGGCCATGCATTATGGTTTAAGGCATGGGCACACAGAGGATTTTTGTTTCTGTTGGGGACCGTGGGGAAATGCGATGAATTATTGATAATTTATGGCAATTCTTTAAAAAAATATTATTTGTGGGGGTTTCCCCCTACCCTAGCCCCTGTAGCGTACATTCATGATTCAGTGGCAAAGTAATGGCCTCGTTACTGTGAGTCCCCAGGATCAAAACTGTGTCGATGTGCTATATTAGTGCCCTTTTGTGAGGCATTAATCCTCTTTACTGTTATTTATGACTTAAGGACGTAGGTCCCCTAGTTGATAAGCATAGTATCACACACATGCTTTATATAGCAGTCACGCAAAAAAAAAAACACTCGCAAAATGTTATTCAATGAAATCCAAGATTTTATATATTGTTATCTAGATCTATTAGGAATAAATCATTGTCAAAATGATTCCATAAATTGGGGTAAACAAAATTATTCCACCATTATGACCAACAGGGTAGATGTAGGTACTGACAGTATTAGCATAACAATGAGTTTGGCAAGGTGTGGCAACCTGCTATGCTGCGACCAACTCTCAGCAATAAAAAAAATAATGAATGGGCGATCAAACGCACTTCTTTAACTATTAATTTAACACAGGAAATATTTATTTTCTCTGTTTTCTAATGAATAAAATAATTCAAAAACTGTGGTAGTGTATTATGGTCAATTAACCATGCTAGCCAATAGTTATGGAAAGATCATTTTAAGAAGGATTATAGTCTGAAAGGAATTATCTAACAATGCACATGAATTCGTCATTGTTGCCATTTATGTATAATTTCTTCATTGTAATGATTAATATTAAATGGTACTCTGCATTTTATGTGATTTGTACAAAGAAGACCCTAAACCCCAGAGAGTATAAACATCAGGATATCTAATTCATTTTACAAATAATAATGGCGTCGCCATAACCGAAGTAATAACTTGTGAGCTGGACAGCACAGCGATAACATGAGTAGGTCTATCAGAGAAACGGAGAAATGAATGAGCTAGGCACATGTCCAGTTAGGTGTATTGTGAATGACTATAAACATTGTATTCCTTAAACACATATGTCATTTCAGGAATTCCTGCACTTATCGTGGTTCTTACTGGAGCTATTGCCAGAGACTCTTACGCCCATGATGATCTGTAAGTGATAACGATTGAAAGTCAAGCTGGAACATTGGATTGCCTAGCCTAGGGTATACCTAATGATCTTCAAAATTCGGATTCGGGAAGATCAAGTTTCTGTACTCTATTCTAGTGTTTAGGCTTTGGGTATATTGGTATCTCATGAGTATTACAATCTCAGATGTTATTGGTAACTTATGGATGACAAAGCTTGGACTTGTCAGAATAAATAATGGGAAATCATTTACAATGGCGAGTTAAATGTTTCAAGGACCATAGACATTTTGTATAACTATGGCTAGGATAGTCAGTACTGATTGACTTTATAATTCAGTCACTTTACAAAATGCATATTTACTATCAACAGATGCTTTCTACAATCATGGGCTCAAGTCGGTGGTCTCCTGGTTCCCATGGCCATCATCCTCCTCATCAACATTGTCATCTTCATCCTGGTGGTTCGACAACTGATCCGATCTGCCAACATCGCTGGTCGGGTGAAAGGAGAGGCTAAGGTAGAACGCCAAGAGGCTATCGAACGCGTCCAGAATGCAATCTGCATCTTGCTCCTGCTCGGTCTGACCTGGGTCACCGGATATCTGCTTTTGATCCCGTTATTCAGTCAGGTAAAGCCAACTAGCTTCAAGAATAAGTCATTGCGGTATCTATCTCTTCTAAGAAGTATCTTGAGAACTCAGTTATGATAACTACACACAATAGCATTACCTCTTTAGATGTTTAGTATCTTTTGAACATGACAGAGAATGCCATATACCTAATTATTATTTCTGAAACATTTGCGTTTAACAGGTGGCTCAGCCAATCTTCGTCGTCCTGAACTCCTTCCAAGGATTTTTCATCTTTCTACTCTACTGCGTCCGGAAGCCTCACATCCGTAAGAAATGGGGGCTAACTTGTTAATGATGATCAGGTTGATTACACCAACAATGATGTTGCCGCCAGTCTCCCTAAGGATGCAGAGGATGACACCAAACACAATGAGAGGAATGATGTAGATGCTAGTTGCACCACCAATTTTTCAAAGGCCAATGGCACAGTTGAGGTTTTAACTATAGCTAAGCACTCATTCTTACTTGTTTTTTTTTTAAATGTAAACGAGTTTTTATTCACTTATTTTTAAGCAAGAAGAAGATCTTATTAAGAGAACCTGATGTTACATTGGCACACTAGGCAGGGGAGGAGTGGCCTTGGTGTAGGTTGAACCCCCCATCCCTGTTCTCCGAGTATTTCGCAATTACCAATATTCCGTCACCACATAGGGGCAAACAAGTGATTGTTATTGGTTATCATCTTTATCATATTCAATGACGAAATTATATATGTACATTTGTATGCACCTTATCGAATTATTTATGATTAGATGATTACAAAAAAAATACTTTGTGGTGTATTTCTCAGAGAATAGGTCTTTTCATTGTTAGAAAAAGTATGATGATGATGGTTCGATGGGTGTTTTTCAATTCATTTTAATCATTTTTAGTCATGACATGATATGTATAATGTAAATAGCGAATGGAAATTCAATATTAATGGTTGCGTTACTTAAATGCAAGGTCCCCATTGCTATCCTCTTATTTAATTTCTTTGCAAAGGTTGAACAAAATTGTCTCCCCCGAGAATCGAACCGTGTCACTGGCAGAGAACGACAATGCCTTTACCACTAGATTACTGAGACGGGCCAGTGGCTTCGGTGATACCAGATTGAATTGACCGACAGATTTGGCAAATCTTACATGTGCCATGGTTGACGAAAAGAGACAAGTGAAGAATAAATAATGTAAAAATAATAGGAGATACGACATATACTAATTTTTGGCTTTTAATAACCCTTTGTGATGATAATGAAAAATGCACGTGTTCTCGAAGTAAACTTGTTGTTCCATGATTATACTGTCTACTTAGTTTTACGTGCTTCTTAATTTAAAGTATCTTGGCCAAAATTGATATCACCATATTTTACTCAGAAAAATTTACTTTATTATAGATTATTTACCGATTTTGTTAAAGCAAAAACTTCATTGTTCATGATGTCCCTGAAAAGGACACCCACGTTTATCGTTAAATTACTCACTGATCCTGAATTAATTTTGGTTAATGTGCACATAAAAGAGAAGCTAATAAACAAAAATATAATTTACCTTCACACAGCGCTCAAAGTTAATTGTCTCTAAACCCTATACATGATTAACTTACACGAACTAATGAAGAAATGTTATGTAATAAACATGACAGGAATGTACGTATAGAAATACGAATGGAAGACAAAAATATATAGGTGCACATGTTCGCAGACACATTTACAAGTGACGAAATTAATAACCGCAGGAGAAATACTGTTTTAATTAACTGTGTGAAAGTTAGGTATTACGGCTAGCCTTAAAATCATTTACATGGATGAAGAGAAAAGCAGACTTTACATGATGAGTTTCAATAGTTAATATTCCCAAATCATTTGTCTTTCAAAACAACTATTATTGAATCTTTTGTTTTTTCTGTCAGAGCCAATTCAGACTTAAATCAGTCATATGTGATTTAATAATCATATTCTTGTTGTCATATCATAAAGAGAAAATAAGCTTTTCAAGGATGTATACATTTAAAGGTACTATGTCCCATTTGCAGGCCAAAACAAATGAAAAAGTTAAATTCCAACTGCATTTGGAAGATAATACTAATTTAGAACTTCCCTAAAAAAGGTGGGGCTTGAAAATGTCTTCAAGTGGGGGAAATAACCACTTTTAGTTGTCAAATCGACTTTAGGGCTATAGAGCCAAAAAAGAATAGTCTTGATTTTTAGACAATTGTACCGAATGGTCATACATTTTATGCTGCGCAAAGATTCAATCAGTTTAATCTTGGCCATCACAAGAAGTGGGTTATTGATGTAGACAAATGCTAGTGTACCCTTTACAACTCTTTTCATGTATGTTATTACCAAAGAAGAAAAAAAGCCAGTCAGTCACTCAATAGTGTCTGACAGTGAAGTCTAGCAAGTAAACGGGTTTCCTTGCATAATTTGAATATGAGGACACTGCTAACGTTTAAATTTCACAGATAGGACATACATGACATATTCATAATTCCTGCAAAGTTCTACAGCATTTGAGGTTGGCTGCAAAATTGACATAGTACCTTTAATGATAAAAATAATTTTGGAATATTAAGTAATTTACAAATATAAGCTTGGGTTTCTTTGTTCAGGGACAACCTGCATTGTATAGCTCGTTTCAATGTTGGATTGCTTAATTAATATCTGATACTGCTAAAACAAAGCATGACAAATTATAACATTACTGTAACTATCAATTTCATTATCGTGCGCAACAAGAAAAGTATAAAGCAAGCTTAGTAATAAAGTAAGTCATGGAGCTGGCGTTCAAACAGTTTGAATTAATCGTTTTAAATCAATTATTTCATATTCATATGTCCGATAAACGTGTACAATATTAATTATTCTTTACAAAGCTGTCAAAGCTAGTAAAATATGAAATAACAAGAAAACCTACTAAACCCACGAGATTGATAGCATAATCTAAAACTAATCACAACACATTCATTGTCGTGTGCAAGCATAGAATAAAAATAAGAATATCATCAATGATAGGAAAGGTCCAGGAAAGGTCCAGGGGAATTTTTTTGCGCATGCGCAGAATGTAATCACGAACTCACTTATATATATTGAAATGAATTGTTGGGGAAGTATAAGGAATTCGAAACATGCAAAATACGGAATGTATCCTATATGCGTGCGTTACTTGGTTTGGGGTTTCGAGCACTATTTCTTTGTATACGACCATTAATGAAATTTCACATAATGACGTCATGTTGTCGTCACGATGCCCTGGCTTCGCTGAAAAGTCACGCAGTTCTAACTTGGAATAGGATCTATCTTTAGGCAAAATTTCATGAGAATGGTTTTATCCGAAAAAAAATTCATGGAAGAATAAAAAAAAAGTCTTGACGAAATCAACAGGTGATACGTGCCGGATGTACGTATCACCTAATAAAAACTACTTTCTATAATCAATCAATGAATACCAACCAATAACCTAAAAGATGGCATTATTCCACCATCGCTTGAAGCTCTAAAAAGCATCTCCCGTCTTACAAACACACTTATTTTACACAAGTTAAATTGATGGACGGCGCTAAAATTACAACCCAAACGGGTACAGGGGAAACCAAACAATTTAGCGCCCACTGCGGCGGAAATTTGAATCTCTTCATTTTTTTGTCAATCTCTGTATAATGACAGAACTGGTATTAACAAACAGAAGAGGGTGTAGAAAAATTTGATCACTGGCGGAGTTCTGTTAGAATGTGTAATTCACAATGTTGAAAATCGGTAGAGAAAAAATGAATAAAAAGATGTTGAATTATCAATAGGAAATAATAGCAGACTGGAAATTTATTATTCAAAATGAACTGAAAATTATTTCATCAGAAATTAATTATCAAAAATAAGGAATAGACAGGGAAATGGAACGCGAGTCATTAAGCACATAAGTAACTCCTATACAATTGTCGTGAGTGGGAGTGTATTATGTGGGTGTGTGTGTGTGTGTGCGTGCGTGCGTGTGTAAATCCCGTCTAGGAATCAATTAAACAAATTTGGAGAAAGATGTCTAGGGTACCAAACCGAGGACACACACGAGAACTGTACATTCACTTAGAGGACACAAAACAAACCCAAGTAAAACACATATGAGTCTTCGTTTCTCACCAGAAATGGTGTGCGTTCGAAATAGTATGCCAACTAAAAACAATATTCTAACCGGATACCTAACATTCAAAACTTCAAACAAAATGTGTGACTTTTACAATTCAAGGGTATTGAACATTCAATAACTTCTGGCCGAGGGGACCGAATGTTCAAAATGTCCACGACACTGACAATGCAATGAATTGACGACAGATTTTGTTAAAAGATAAGAATATGAAAGAATGATAGAAAGAGAATTGAGGAAATATAGTAAGAGGGAAAAAAGTAATTTAGTATATACCTTTAGAGAAACATATAAATGTAAAAGCATAAAGGTAAGGCACAGCTTAAAGTCAACTTAATATGACACACGTCTATTTCCATTCTCGTTTATTTTCTTCTTTGAAAATGAATACATTGCTTATGATTAAATAGTATAATTCGAACAAAAATCCGCACCCAAGCCATCACACATCTTTTCGAATGAAGCTAATTTGGCCCCTTCATACTGAACAATCATAAATTAATTAAAACAAGAGATAGAGAGAGAGAGAGGGAGAGAGGATACATTTTAAAGCTAACTATGGAGATTTGACCCTAGAAATATATCACAGAAAATTCAGTTTTTCATGTAAGGGGTATAAAAGCAAGGGCGCATTAAACTTAAAGAGGGAAGCACTTATTATATTGCAGTAGGGGCGTTCGATCACAAGGAGGGGCACCTTTTCACAGGTATACCGGTGATAAGAGCGGAGAGAAAGGAGAACAGTATGTGAAAGATTGAAGAAAAAAAGGGGAAGGGTGGCGTGTGTGGGAGAGAGAGAGAGGGAGAGAGAAGGGGGGGGGGGTGATTTAAAGAAATAGCGCTAGGTGATCGAACATTTGCTTGTGCAGCCCCCAAAACTCTGGAATAACTTACCATTTGAAGTCAGGAATTCACCATCTGTAAATATCTTTAAATCAAAACTGAAAGCACATCTTTTCAATTAACTGTAAATCTAAGCATATTAGGAGCTCTTGTAGCGCAGTAGAATATATACTTAATGTCGGATAGTTTCTGCGCTCTATAAATGTATTATTATTATTAGGTGATACGTACGTAGACGTATCACCTTTTGATTTCGTCAAGATTTTTATTATTTATTTATTTATTTATTTATTTATTATTATTCTTCCTCGAATTTGTTCGCAGGATATCTCAAGACTGAATAAAGCCATTATCATGAAACTTGCCATGATGATAGATCTTAGTCTAACTTAGAACTGCGTGACTTTTCAAAGACTCAAAATTATCGTGACGTCATCCAGGCGCCATTTTGTGAAAATAAACTTATGATCATATCTTCATAACGGAAAGGAATTTTTCATTCATATTTATCAGGAAGAAGATCAATATCCATCCGGTCAATTTCAGATCAATAAACGTGCGCAAATGCGCGCGTGCGCGTTCGTACGCGCGTTTACGCGCGCGAAAAAAATTAAAATGCTCCAAATCATCCCAAATTTTTTTTGCATACGTTTCAGGCCATATGGAGCATTTG